AGTAACGTTAACTTGATCCTGACCAGCGGCTTGTACTTTGTCATTGTCAATACGAACAGATACAAAGTTGGTCATTCCAACAGGTCCTCCCGCTAGTGCCAGCGCATCCCTGCATGCGTATATTTCCAATACACAACGGCAACATACCAGTAGATCTGGACATACAATTTGAGCACTCCATCAGATGAGGCTAGCCAGCGCTAGGAAACCTTCATGTATTGCTTGTCTCCTCACATACCAAATCGACCGAAGGGGCACAACCATCCTCGTAAACGTGTTGTGCTCGAGGGTCTCGTTTAGTTCAAATAACCAATTCTTCGCTCGTGATTCTTTTGCATTGGTTTTCTTCACTTTTAATTTTGTTTTTTGTTTTCTTTGTTTCTTGTTCGGTTTTTGTTGGTTTTCTTTGTTTATTGGTCCGTTTTCATCTCATTCCTTTTTGTTCACCACATGTTAACTTTTTCCAGTACACAATGTACATTTTTGTGTACACAAGAAACATATTTTTATTCACGTTGGACATCTTTTAAAAACACGGTGCATATTTATTATGAAATCATGTTTTAAACATTATTTAGAATACATAGTCAATATTTTTAAATATGCATTGAGCATTTTTTGGGGGTAATAAACGGTTATTTAGAACTAAGAGAACAATAATTTTACATGGTCTAAATATTTTTAAATTAAAAGGAAATTTTTTAAACACATGAATATTTCTTCAAAACTTACATACATTTTCTTAATATGAAAATATATATTTTAACTTATGCAAACTTTTTAAATTTTGTATAACAATTTTTTCAATGTCAAACACATTAATTAGAAATGAGATAATATTTCTTTAAAATGTCACCTAAATTTTATTATATGGTACGAAAAAATTATACTACACAAAAAAAAATTCATTGTATACACATTTGTCCAAAATTTCACATACATTTTTTTGAAAAGCAGGAACAGTTTTTCATTGTTAGCAACATTTTTTAGAAGCTATGAACATTTTTTAATTGCAATAACTTTTCTATACTGCTGTTAATTTTTTTCAAATTCATTGTTTTAAATTTTTCAAAGTAAATTTAAGCTTTGGAGAGCTAGATTGGTCGTGTGTGCATCAGCGTCGATGAGGACATGCGGTGAGTTGGGCGGGCGAAGAGGTGGGTGGACCAAGACAAAAACCATTTGCTTTCGCCTTCGATGTTATATAAGGGTCAACTAAGTCTTTTTTTTTGCGGGTCTAGGGTCAGCTAAGTCTTGTAGCACAATATAGAGTGGGAGGCCGGTGGTGGCGGTGAGACTAATATGGGAAATAAAATTAATATCATTTACCGTTTGACCCCAACATTCTAAGTATTGTATAAGACTAAGTTTTTTTACGAGTAAAACCTCTGATCTATTCATTAAACATCATGGCGATACAAGAGCTAGGCGTAAAACTAATATGAGAAGTAATAAAAATTGCATCCATGTTCGTAAAACCATCTAGCGACGACTACATGCACTGGAGCGAGCAGAAGGCGCGCCGTCTTCATTGCCCCTCCCTCGCCGGAGAAGGGAAACCCTTGTTGTAGTAGATGTCGGGGAGTCGTCGTGCTAAGGCCCCAAAGGACTAGCACACGAGAACAATAACCGTCATCGATGAAGTGAATCATAGATCAGACGGGTCCAACCTGTACCCTACATTACTCCGGAAACAATTGCTATGCTTTTTTTTAATGTTTCTATGCTTTCTTATTTTTGTCCTCTTCTCATTTGAAAATTTATGGAAGCTTCTTTTTGCGGGGAAAATTTATGGAGTTCCCAATCTGATTTGGAACCTCCATTTATCTATTAAACCAAAATACATTAAAACTATGAAAATTGTGGGTGTCAGGTTTTAGAGTACCAAAACTAAAATACTCCAATAGTTGAGAGATAAGAAATAGACATTTTCCTATTTGGAATGTACTCGCATCACATCGACATACCATTTTCTTCCAAAAACTCCTCCATATAGTAGTACACGAAACAATATTGGATGGTAGACATGCACCATTCGTAGCCCCTCTCCCACGTCAGCCCAAATTAATCAAGTCTCCTATCTATCGCGCTCGCCGTCGTCCAGCTCCTCCTCCCTTCTCTCCTCAGCGGCCGGCGAGAGAAACATGTCTAGCCTAATGCAGACCATGGTCGTCTCCGGAGTAGCGACGGCCGTGTGCTGCGCGGCGTGGAGCTTCTACAACTACTGGACCTCCCTGTCCCTGGACACCTACGGCAAGGACATGACGGCCGCCGCCAGCAGGGCCGACCCCGTGGTGGGCCGCGACGACGAGATCGACCGCCTCGTCCGCATCCTCTGCCGCCGGACCAAGAACTGCGCCGCGGGGGTGGGCAAGACGGCCATCGCGGAGGGCCTCGCACAGCGCATCGCCGCCGGGAAGGTGCCCAGGCAGCTCGCCGGCGCGCGCCTCGTGGAAGTTGACCTCGCGGCCATGGTGGCCGGCCGGGACGCAGTGGCGCGGCATGTTCGAGGAGCGCATGAAGGCCGTCATCAGGCGGGCCGAGGCCTCCGGCGGCAAGATCATCCTCTTCATCGACGAGATGCACACGCTCATCGGCGCCGGCGACTACCAGCGCCGGAACGACGCCGCCAACATGCTCAAGCCAGCGTTGGCCCGTGGCCGCATCCGCTGCATCCGCGCCACCACGTTCGACGAGTACCGGAAGCACATAGAGAAGGACACCGCGCTCGAGCGGCGGTTCCAGAAGGTGCACGTTGAGCAGCCGACCACACAGGCTACAGCCACCATCCTGCAGGGGATCAGGCAGCGGTATCAGAACCACTATGGCCTGGAAATCCAGGATGCTGCTGTTGATGCCGCCGTGCACCTCGCTGACCGCTATATCACCGGTGAGACAAGCTTATAGAATTTTACAAGCTTGGTTTTCCGGCGTAAGATTTACCTTTGAGCAAAACTAATGGGTTTCATTCATGCCGTAGGTCGTCAATTTCCTGATAAGGCAATTGATCTAATAGACGAGGCTTGCACCTCCGTCGAGCGGAAAGCAAAAGCAATTATTGGCCCGGATCTTATGGCATGGGTAAGGGATGTGTGCTTGTCACGCCATTTTCAACAAATTTTGTTATTGAAGATAGGAGTTAAGACGTTAAGCTCATGTTGTTATTTGAAGGTGGTAAGCCGGTGGATCGGGATTCCTTTAACTCAGGCTGATCAAGATGAGAAGGTCAAGTTAATGCACTTAGCAGACAGATTGCATGAGAGAGTAGTAGGTCAGAATGAGGCGGTCGATTTGGTTGCAGATGACGTGTTGTGTTCCAGGGTTGGCCTTGCTCGAGGTGGCCAACCGGTGGGCTCCTTCCTCTTTCTAGGCTCAACTGGTGTTGGAAAGACAGAACTTGCAAAAGCTCTCGCCGAGCAGTTATTTGGCAGCGAAAAGATGTTGGTTCGCTTCGACATGTCAGAATATAGTTGTTCATCCTCGGTGATGCGTCTCACTGGAGCACCCCCAAGGTTTAGTCATAATATATGAGCTCTCATACGTTACATTATATATATACTTTTATTTAGTTTTACTAATGGGAGTGTTTCTTTCACGGCATCACAAAGCTATCATGGTTACCATGACGGTGGACAACTGACGGAGAAAATCAGAAGACGCCCATACTCTGTTATTCTTTTCGATGAGGTGGAGAAGGCAGATTACTCGGTGCTGAATGTTTTCCTTCAACTACTTGATGATGGTGTGCTGACTGACGGTAAAGGCCAGAACGTAGATTTCAAAAATACAGTCATTGTTATGACCTCGAATCTAGGGGCAGAGCACCTAACAGGAGGAAACGCGACGAAAGGGGCACATGAACTCCTCATGAAACAGGTATGTGAGTGAAACATAAATAGCCCTATAAAACCAAGCCATTTGCTGATCCAGTGTCATGTATGTTTGTAGGTTCGGAAATACTTCAAGCCTGAATTCCTCAACAGACTGAGCGAGATTGTGATATTTGAGCCGCTTTCGCACCACCAGCTGAAGGAGATTGTGAATATCCAGATGAAGGACGCCATTGCTAGAGTAGCCAGCAAGGGCATCTCTCTAGTTTTAAGGGACGCCGCATTGGATGTTATTTTGTCGGAATCACATGACCCAATAAGTATATTGCATCTTCTTCCAGTGAATCGTACCATGCGGCTCAGTCTCTGAAATAGCGAACTTTTTTCATGTACATATTGGGTGGTAATATATAACCACATATACTTTGTGTCATGCAGATGTACGGTGCGAGGCCTATAAAGAGGTGGGTCGAGAAGAATGTAATCACGGTTATCTGCAAGATGCTGGTCAGTGGGGAAGCTGATGAAGGCTCGACGATCTCAGTTGACGCTGACAACGACAACAAGGGGTTGAAGTACCAAGTTGCGTAGAAGGAAAGCGCAGCAGACTCGGTTTGAACTTTGAAGCAGGAAAAACATGCAGCTATCCTGAAACTAATTCAGACGCACGCATTCATCACAGGATGACTGTTCTTTTTCTTTCTATTTGTGTGTGTAAGATAGCTTTTGGTAGCTTTGTTTCTGATGAAGTTGCAAGACGAAGCAGACACCATACATGAATCTGTAGAGATGAAGGGCTCAATCTCGCAATATCATACTCAAATGCAAGCAGAGAAAGTTGTGGTAATCATGCTAATCGATCAAGAGTATGTAGGCACCATAGATAACAAGTCGCACAATGTTTTCCCTAGCTTCAAGAGAATCTGCAAATAGATACCACTGCCAATCTAAATTGGCAATCACAAAAGAGGGATATGTTGCTGCTACTTATTCAAAATCGTCCAGGAGTTAAAAATATTCCACGCCAGCGATTCACAAATCTCCGTACTGAACTAAAAACAACGGCGATACCTTATACCACAAATTCTCACAAGTATTAGCTACAGGAAAAAGGACTCGATAGCTCAGCCAGGTTCAAGAGCACGAATGCGGGCAAAACAGTAGCTTCCATCACAAGTTCTTGAACGCGGACTCGTTGGGGAGCTTAGGCGTGAGCCTCTCCAGCAAGGCCTTGTTGGGGAAGTGGTCGGCGTCGACGAAGTAGAAGTTCCCGTCGGCCCTGAAGGTGACGAAAGGCCGGTTAGTCTCTGCGGGCCTGATGTCAGCAAACTTGATCGTCTTCTTCAGGGGTGTAGCCAGCCATGACATTATCTCCGCCTCGAAGCTATCTGAACCCTGCCTCCATCTCAGCTTGTGGATGTAGGGGCTCACGAACCAGTGCAGGGCTGCGGTTGTTGTGGCACTGAGGAAGATCACGGTGGATGCGACTCCTCCCTTGAGGATCACATTCATGTCGGGCGAAGTCATGAACGTTATGACAGGGCCTAGCGACACAGAGAGGCAGCAGGTGGACAGGGACAGAAGCTTCACTTTCTTGATGGTTGATGATATCGGTCCCTGATAAACCAGTCCATCATCTTTGTCCTCCTCCTTGATCTGCTTGGATTTGGGCCCAATGCTTATCTTGCCGCCACTGGGGTCAGTTTCTTTCACAGCAGTGGCTTGAGAAGCCCATCTTGTCTGGCTGTACAGAGAAGCCATTGAGCCAAAGCTGTTCCCTTTTGCAAGAGGGTTAGGCCTGCATGTTGAGAAATGCCTCCATGTTGCAGATCCAGGAACCTGAAAATCTGGCAAAGCAAAGGGCAATGAGCTATCCAACGGATACATGCAAGACAGTACATGCAAGACAGTACAAGATTCACTTTGGTTATCCAACAGATGCACTTTGACACAGTAAACCTGTTATAGCTACTTGCTTTTCATCTTCAATTCAGGGCGCTACACATCTCAAGGCAACACATAAGGGGAAATGGCACATGCCATAATTTCAAGACATTTTTCTTTTGACAAAATAATTTCAAGACATTCACACACATGTTCGTACAAGCACTTCAAAACAGTAGAATATTTACTAGCTGTGTTTGCCAAACTGCAACTATGTGATAGTGAACAACATAAGAGGTGCTCCTGCTCAGGGCCTAAACAACTTACTACTCACCAGTTCTCAGGTTATACACAACCCAGTGGCCCATAATGCACCAACCAGTCAGATAACAGCAGCAGTTCAGCACTGATACAGTGCTCCAGCTAGCAAACCAAACAAGGAAATCAATTACCACACCAACAGAAGCATACCATCAGTCCTGTGACCTCCATCGTGTTTCCTAACACACGCAAATACAACGGCATACATGTTGTGATGATAGACCAGTAAAAGGGGAAATTGCATGTTAGCCACGCCATAGCGATATAGGTGGTTCTGCTCGTGCGCAGCATCTGTAAAGAAAGAAGAGTGGACTACTAGATCGCAGATTTTCCTTGTGAGCTCCAACCGGCGTAAGCACAGTAACACCAATGTGTGTGGGGGGGCAAGGCGCAGTTGTCGGTAAAATGAAGGACAGGGTGCTGTTCCTAACCACCTCAGATCGCATGCCCTTGTAACAATTTAACCAACCTACACCAGCAATTCTCAGTTTACAGAAGATCAATTAGGCGGGCCGGATGACACCAGCAGCTCAGCGCCCACTGGCGAGAATCACTAATTGTAACACCTAATCAAACCAGGGGGCTGACCACTCCGCAGCAGAATCGCGTCACACGTCTCACCAAATCGTCTCAGGTCGAAGCTACACAGCACCATGCGGATCAAATCTACTACTAGTCATTATCACACCGGGGACGGCCACGGGGGGAGGAGGCGGTGGGTGGGGGGGAACCTGAGACGGCGCGCGGGGGCGCGGAGCAGTGGCGGAGGAGGATCCCGCGGAGGGAGGACGCCGACGCGGATCGCAGCCTCGCCGTCGCCATGGGAGATTTAGCTAGCTAGGGTTTGCGCGGCGAGAAGAGTCGTCCGTGGGGAGTGGTGGTGTTCTGGAAGCAGGGGAAATGAGAATGACGACGCTCTGGCCAGGCCTGGGCTCAACTTTTTTTTTTTTGAGAAAAAGGCCTGGGCTGAACTGAGCCTGGCTATATGGGCTATGAACGGCAAGCAGGCAGCCGGCTCCTTACCGGGTCTGAGAGCCTGGCTATATGGGCTGTCAGCTGGGCTGGTAGCAGGCCAAGTCTGAGAGAGAGCCCAGCACGACATGAAGCCGGTTCCTTGCCGGGTCCGGACCCTACTTGGACTCTGGTTTTCTTTTGCTGGCCTACTCTCTATCTCTCACCCGGATCTCCTCGACGCGCCGCGCCGGAACCCTAGCCGCCCACCGCCGGTGAGATCCCCGCGCCCTCAGCCTAGCTACCAACTTCAAATCCAAGCCTTCTCCATCCACCCCCCCTCCCCCCGCCTGACCCGGTTCCGCCTCGCGGTGCCGGGATGAGCAGCCGCCGCAAGAACTTCCGCCGCCGCGCGGACGACGACGACGACGGGGGCAAGGCCGAGGAGGCCGGCCCCGCGAGCAGGCCCGCCGCCAAGGCCCAGCCCCCGCCCAAGCCCAGGCCGCAGGGCGCCAGCCGCCTCAGCTTCGCCGACGACGAGGAGGACGAGGACGACGCCGAGGAGGGGCCCTTCGCGCAGCAGCGGAGCCGCCGCCCGTCCGCCTCGGTGCGCCAGGCGCGCACGGCCTCCCCGGCCGCGGCGGCCCTCCACCGCGTCACGCCCGCCAGGGACCGGGCCCGGAGCTCGCCGGCCGTCGCCGCCGCGGCTCCCGCGCCCAAGCCGTCCAACTTCCAGAGCCATGCTGGCGAGTACACCCCCGAGCGCCTCCGGGAGCTCCAGAAGAACGCGCGCCCGCTCCCTGGGAGCCTCATGCGGGCTCCGGCGCCGCCTCCTCCCCCTCCTCCGGCGGCGGCTGAGTCCCGGCACCAGCGGCTGGCTGGAGCTGCGGCCAGCACCTCGTCTGGTCCCACCGCTGCCGGTAAAGCAGCTCCGGCGGAGCCAGTGGTTGTTCTCAAAGGTCTGGTGAAACCTATGGCACAGGCCAGCATTGGGCCACGGAGACCATTGCCGAACGAGGTTGAAGATAATGTTTCTGAAGAGGAGGCCGAGGATGATGGAGAAGATGAGGACAAAGGGCCACTGATACCTGATAAGGCGACTATCGAAGCCATCCGGGCAAAGCGGCAGCAACTGCAACAGCCGAGGCATGCGGCGCCTGATTTCATCTCCCTTGATGGTGGCGGTGTGCTCAGCAGCAGGAGGGACGCGGCTGGCGGGTCCAGCGATGAAGAGGACAATGAGATGGAGGGTAGGATTGCCATGTACTCTGAGAAGACGAGTGATGGCCAGAGGAGCTCAAAAGGAGTGTTTCAGGGGATCAATAATAGGGGCCCTGCTGCCAGTTTGGGGGCTATGAAAGATAGGTTTATGGAGGTTGAGGATGATGAGGTTGATGACGAGGAGGAGGAAGAAAGGAAGTGGGAGGAAGCGCAGGTCAAAAAGGCGCTTGGTAATAGGATGGACGATTCTTCTGCTCAGAGAGCAACGAACGGTGTTTCGGCTGCGAGGCAGCAGGTTCAGCCGCAGCCGTCTGGGTACTCGGGGGGTCCTCATTATCAGCCCTCCTTTAGCGGGGTTGTGCCTGGGGCATCTGTTTTTGCATCGGGTAGTGCAGAGTTCTTGTCCATCTCTCAGCAAGCTGATGTAGCAAGCAAAGCCCTGCAGGAGAACATCAGAAAGCTCAAGGAAAGCCACAAGACAACAGTTGATTCTTTAGCGAGGACCGACACACATCTAAATGAAGCCCTTTCAGAGATTTCCAGCCTGGAGGGTGGCTTGCAGGATGCAGAGAAGAAGTTTGTGTATATGCAGGAGCTCCGGAACTATATTTCTGTCATGTGTGATTTCTTGAATGATAAGGCATTCTTCATAGAGGAGCTGGAGGAGCACATGCAGAAACTGCATGAAAATCGGGCACTGGCTGTTTCAGAGAGGCGGGCTGCCGATTTTGCTGATGAGTCAGGTGTGATTGAAGCTGCGGTGAGTGCAGCAATATCTGTTCTTAGCAAAGGACCGAGCTCAGCTAATCTGTCTGCTGCATCGCATGCTGCACAAGCAGCAGCAACTGCTGCCAGGGAAAGCGCTAACCTACCACCGGAGCTGGATGAGTTTGGCAGAGATATCAACCTCCAGAAGCGTATGGATCTTAAGCGCAGGGAAGAGAACAGGAGGCGAAGAAAAGCTCGATCCGAATCCAAAAGATTGTCTTCTGCAAGAAAGAGTGCTACTGAGCACATTGAAGGTGAGCTAAGCACTGATGAGAGTGACACCGACACCAGTGCTTACCTGTCCAGCCGTGATGAGTTGCTCAAGACTGCTGATGCTGTATTCAGTGATGCTGCAGAGGAATACTCGAGCCTTACAATTGTCAAGGACAAATTTGAAGGCTGGAAAACACAATATCCTTTGGCCTACCGAGATGCTCATGTGTCACTAAGTGTGCCATCTGTGTTTACCCCGTATGTGAGGCTGGAGCTTCTGAATTGGGACCCTCTCCATGAAACAACTAGTTTCTTTGACATGCAGTGGACTAACGTTCTTGTGGGTTATGGAGTGCAAGATGAAGACAGTGCTGACCCTAATGATCTAGATCTGAACCTCATTCAAGTTCTAGCGGAAAAGGTAGCCCTTCCTGTCCTGCACCACCGTATTAAGCACTGCTGGGACATTTTGAGCACGCAAAGAACACAACATGCTGTAGATGCAACTTTTATGGTGATTAACTATGTGCCGGTAACAAGCAAGGCTTTGCATCAACTGCTGGCGACGGTGTGTAGTCGTCTGACTGAGGCAATTGCTGACGTGTCAGTACCAGCCTGGGGATCAATGCTGACAAGGACTGTGCCAGGTGCTGCTGAGTATGCTGCATACAGATTCGGAGTGGCCACACGGCTGCTTAAAAATGTGTGTCTGTGGAAAAAGGTCCTTGCAGTAGATGCCCTGGAGAAACTTGCTCTAGAAGAGCTATTGATAGGAAAGATTCTTCCTCATATGAAAAGTATCATTCTGGAAGTCCATGATGCGGTCACAAGGGCCGAAAGGATAGCCGCATCACTTTCAGGAGTCTGGTCTTCACCAAACAAGAAGCTGGAGCCTTTCACAGATTTCGTGTTGGAACTATCAAACAAGCTCAAGAGTAGACACATTTCAGGCGTTAGTGAAGAAGAGATACGTGGGCTGGCTCGTCGTTTGAAGAACATATTGGTGGCGCTGAACGAGTACGATAAGGCTAGAAATATTTTGAAGACCTTCCAAATCAGAGAAGCTCTCTAGCTAGTTGTTCCCTTGACATAGAACAAGAATTCCATTTTTGTTTGAAGGCGGCAAGCAGGTTCGATATCCTTTTGGTTCACGGGAATGTTGTAATGTCTAATTATCTCTGTACATCAAATGATCATGAGTACCTAGTCCAATCTTACAGTTACATGCATGTTGGTGCAATTTTCATGGTGCTTCTGGATTTCAGGAATCATTGTCTTTCTCAGTAATGGCCAACGTCAGTTAACTGACTGATAAGGCATATATATGTCCAGCACTTTTCTGCATTACATTATTATTACTGGACATCTTTCATGCAAGCTTGCTTTTGTGTGTTATGAAGTTTTGGACCATTCTGATAAGAGTTTGGCTTTGGCTCATGCCAGTCAACTTACATTCCTTGATATAGTTTGATAAGCCAGCTTGGTAAAATAGATCGGACTTTCAGACATGAGCTGTGGGTCCTAGTCCTAGCATTTATGGAAATGGCTTTATGTTTAGTCCAGGTCTGGGGAAGTGGGGCATGCAAAATACACAATTCTTGGAGTTGATTATCCGATGCCTGGTTTCCCAAAGATGTTGACTATCATCAATTCTCATCTTCTGTTAGGCACATGTTTGCTGTTTCCCCACTGATAATAAAAAGATACCGCAACAAGCTTCTCCTCACATCTGATGTTGAATGATGTTTTTTCTTGTGTGCCGCTGACCCAGGAGCAGTTTGCAGTGGCCACCAGCAACCCTGTGTGCCTGCCTGTTTTGCTGCTGGCAGCCTGATGATATTCTCCCACGCCACACTTGTGACTCTGTTAATTCCTGCATTGCATACAAGACCATGCATGGCATCCTGCTACCGCTGAATACAGTTCTTGTGAATCAAAGATGATACTAAAGGGCTAGAAATGCATCTTGAAGACCTTCCGAAACAGAGAAGCTTGCTAGCTAGTTTTTCCTTGACATGGTACATGAATTGCATTTGGTTCCGAATCCGTTTCAATCTAGAGATCGATGTTGTGATTACTCGTTAGGGTTTGGTTCTTTAGGCACTGATGTCTCACAGACTCAATGTCTTGTGTGACCATTGATGGTGACGCGAGTCGTGCCCACCTTGAGCCCTAGCAGGTTGCGCCTCTATCAAGCGACGTAAACGAAAGATGGGGACGAGGAGGCAATTTGGGAGGAACTCGACGAACAATTGGGACAGCAGGGTGGTAGGGATTTTGGGGGTGGGAATTTTCATGACATGGTGTACTAGACAGTGTATTTGAAGTTAGGAGTGTTTGGCATCGACAAGGATAATAGTCTGGAGTTCTGTTGGGCCATTTCAGGTCACCGCAGCCTTGAATCTCTCACGGTGCATTCAGCCTTGAATCTCCCAAGCATCAAGGAAGTAGTACATCTTTGTGTCCTGGTTTCCCCAATGTTTATTATCGTAATCAAGGTAAATATGGCTGAAGAAGAAGCCCTCGACGACCCCAGCAGCTCCGCCGCCGTCACCGTCCTGTACCGCGCCTGTGAACCACTCCCCGTCACCGTCCTTGGCGCGGAAGAAGCACACAGTTGTAGCGGACGCTCCTGTCCGCGGCCTTGGCCTCCACCGGCTCCTCGTGGAACCGCCGCACCGCCGCCAGCATCCCCGCCATGGCCGCCGTGCGCCACCACCTGGAAGAGGCCCACGGTCTCGGCCGCCTCCCTCCGCGCGGCGGCCGGAGAGGTCGATGACGGGGATGGCGACGCGGTTCGACACGGCGTGCGGGGCGAGGGCGTCGGGGTGGTGGTGGAAGATTGGCGTCGAGGACGAAGCTCCTGCCGCCGGCGCTGTGTCCCTGGGTGGCCATTCCTTGGTGAGGATGCTGAGGGCGAGGCAGGAGGATCAGATCTGATCTGTAACCAAGATGAAGAAATGTTAGGCACGAGGATTGATTCCTCACATCTTTTCAAGCCACGCAGATAAGCAACAACAGCTCGAAAAAGAAAATTAGGTCTCGCCGGAGGCCATGGGATCCGCCTGCCCTTTCCCGAAATGGAAATGGCTACTCTCCTCCCCTCTTTCCCGAAAAATGAAAATGAGGTCGCCGGAGGCACGAGTTTTTCTCAAAGTATGGATGCTTATTTGTAGAGGACAGATGTTTAATTAATGAACCCGTTTTTCTTTAAGCATCGGTGCTTATTTGTAGAGTGTGCTTAATTAAGTGTCTGTCCTATAATAATAAGCACCGGTGCTTAAAAAAAACTTGGTTTATTTTACTAAGCATCTCTCTAAGCAACCTCCCGTTGTACAAGGCCTAAGCTGACCCTCAAACCTTCCGTAAACATTCAAACCGTGCTGTCCGGGCACGATTTGTCATCCAACGCAGTCTAGCAACGATCCGTCAACGCATTCCGACGTCCCTTTTTTCGCAAATCAAAGACAAACAAAAAGAGACTTTGCAGGAGTCCAAACGTCCACTCGCGAATGAAAAACCACCACTTACCCCGGCCCTCGTTGTTATTTGGCAGAAGGCCGCTAATATTTTGTTGGGAAAAGAACAAATTAAACCATGGTATTCTATTAGTATTAGTCAGTGTGATGATATGTTTTTGTCGACTACGAGGCGCCTACTCGTAATTTCAAGATGATATACCGGCTCGGTCTCTCGAAAGTGCTCATAGAGATAAGGTGCGCATATGTGTGTTTATAGAGTTGAGTGTATGCGCGTATATATAAGAGCTTACGTATGCGCTAGAGTAGTGTTAGTTTTGCTTATTAATGGGTTGTTAATGCCAAGTTGTTAGTTGACGAAGGTTGTATAATTGTTATTTAAATGCTAACTAACCATCAGATTTGGCGGAAGGTGGACGGATTCCATCCGCCGAAAGTAGCTTTGGCCGGCTTGGTTACCATTTTTAAGAAATGGACATTTGAAGACATGGTTGAATGCACAGCTTTCGCATCAGTGTTTACGGATTGGTCCTCATTGATCCATGAACATATGTAGTGTCCGGTTTAGGGGATAGCGTTCAAGATGCTCTTAGCTCATGCCATATTAGCTATCCCAGTTCACCTGACTTTTAAATTTGGGTAAGTTAATTGTCTGACCATTGATTTTTTTTGTCGTGATTTGTGTTGTTATTTTTGCTTGTGTTGTTTCATGACTTCTAAGCCTGATTTTTGGCTTGCCCTGTTCCGTAAGTCATGCTAGGGGTAAACCTAGCCAGCACAGCGTCCTCCAAGCCGTTGTCGCCGCAGCCATCACCGGCTCGTCGGCGTTTCCTCGGATGATGGTGCCCGACTCACCCCGCGCGTCGGCTTGCAACCCGGTCCCCGGCTTCCACGTCTACCTGCAGGCCTCCCGCCTCTTCGGGAAGTGCTCGCTCGACGTGAGTGTGGTCGCGCCTTCCACGCCCGCACCCGCGCCCATCGACCTCAATGCCACCACGGTGGTCGGTGGCTCGTCGTCCGGCGGCACGAGGAAACGCGCGCGACAGACGCCGGCCGGCAGGCTCCCGGACGCCCGTAACCTGTTCGAGGAAATGTCGTCCGCCGTCGACGAGGACTACATGCAAAACCTCATCTTCGAGGGTGGTGCGCCGGGCGCTGGCTACGATCCCGACGAGACACAAAGCCAGGACGGCCGCGGGGCGTTCACGCCGGCCGCTGGCTATATCCCGATCAGGCAGCCTTCATGCGTGATCAGGTCGACATCGGCCTGGATGGCTTCCCCCTGGACCACGAGTTCCCGGAGGACTATGGGCTAGAGGAAGAGGACGAGTGCGACATCGAAGCGGAGCCTTTGTTCGAGGACGAGCTCGCCAACCAAGCCGCCGGTCCTAAGCTGAAGCGCAAGAGCAAGCGCACGAAGGCGTACACAGCTGCCGAGGACAAACTTCTTTGCGAGTGTTGACGAGACATTGGACAAGACCCAAAGACGGGCGCCAAGCAAAAGCATTCAACCTTTTGGACTCATGTGCACCGCGAGTTTCACGAGCGCAAGAAGTTTCCACCTTACCAATTTGTGAGCACGCGCGGGTGGGTCTTCATTTCCAAGCGGTGGATGGTGATCCAACAAGAGTGCAACAAGTTTTGCGCCACCCTTGAGAGCGTCAAGGCCCGCCCTGTGAGCGGCATCGGCATGCAAGACATGGTATGATAGCAAGCAAGCGCCTCTTTTGTGTCATCAAGATCATCCTTTTATGTCTTCATTTGCTATCACTTGCCCATATGCTTGCATGGAAACATTTTGTAGGCATTTCAAGCTTTGGAGGCATTCAAGGTTCAACACAATGGCAAGTGCTTCAACCTCTCCCATTGCTATCGGGTCATCAAGGACGAAGAGAAGTTCAAGGCACAATATGCCGCCCTCAAGGCACGTGGGGGGAAGAAAGCCGTGGAGGATGTTGGGGAGGGCGAACCGGCATGGCCGAGGGGGAAGACCAACTCCAAGAAGGAGGACAAGCGAGATGCGGCCACCAACGCCTTGATCGCAAGCGTGGACGGCATGATGAATAAGAAGGACTCAAGGGAGGAGGAGCGCCGGCGTTTCAAGGCGGAGCAAATGGATGCTTTCGTGGAGATCCAAAGGAGGAGGCTTGATCTTGACGCCGAGAAGCAAGCCAAGATGTTCGAGCTCAAGCGGAGAAGCAAGCCAAAATGCTAGAGATCGAGGCCGCCAACGCCAAGACAAAGGTGAAAGAAGTGGCTCTTGCGAGCATGATGACTGGGTGGAGATCATGAAGGTGGATCTCAACACCGTGTCGCCAAGGAAGAGGCCGTGGTTCGAGAAGATGCAGGCCAACATGGTCAAGTTCGACAACGAGTGATCTATGGCGGCGAGGGCCATATTTTTTGTATGCCGGCAGGGTGTGCCGGCATGACCACAGGAGCCGCGATGGCGTGGTCGAATTCAAGTCCCACACTGTTTTGTGTGTTGGCATGTGTGTCGGTCGGCTGGCGAGTGCGCTAGTATGAACTGTGGTATTTTCTGAAGCCGGCATTGTATGCCGGCGCTGGCATGATGCCGACATGAGACATGGTC